GCCCGGGCTGCCCCTGCCCAGAGCCAGGCTCGGTCCCAGTCCCATGCCGCCATCCATCAGCTGCTGGCCTCTGTGCGATGTTTGGAGCACGAGGCAACCCGTCTCAGGTGCCGGGTGTCCCAGGAACCCCCAGGCACTGTGCAGCGGAATCCCTGGACCAGCGATGGCCGGATACTCCCTACCCACCCCCAGCCCAACCAGCCTATTCTCGCTTCTTGGGATGAGAGGAAGAGACGCTCCCGGGACCTCAGGAAAGCCACAGATCTCCTAGGGGCACAGCGGGTCTGGACTGCTCTCTCAGACGGTCAGACGTACAGCAAGGCAGCGTCACCACCAGAGACCATCATGGGGACGCTGACCAGGGGTTTGCTTGACAATGAGCAGGGGGTCCTTCCTGCTCAACCCCCAGGGCCGAGAGATAACCGCACCCCAGGCCCAAACTACGGTGGGGAACAGCAGGGGGACCACAGCCTCCCTGGAGGGACAGGCAGCAGGGAAGGCAGACTCCATCCTCCAGCCTTCTCCAGGGCAGCCCAGCACGGCCTTCCTGGGCGAGGAGAGGAGGGGTCCCCGAGGGAACAGGCCAGTGGAGAGGAGAAGAGGGAGGCTTCCTGTCTTCCCGAAGCAGCCCGAGTGAGGAGTGTTCATCAGGTAGAGGCCAAAGGAGGCTGGGGGAGGCTGGGAGGGCTTCCGACCAGGCGTGTGGGTGGGCAAGCAGGCAGGCGGGCAGGTGGGCATGGCAGGACTGGCCTATCTGCCCGCTCCCTGGCCTGAGAACTGTGTGGTGTCCTCTTGCTTCCCCAGAACAAGTCCCCAAACACTGTGACTGTGGAGTCCAAGGCCACCTGGTGAGGCCATGGTGGGGTGGGACTCGGGGGCTCACCTCTGAGACAGCTTTCCTGTAAGCCTGGGTCGGGGGGACTAGGGCCTGCTGGAGCTGAAGCCTTGATGGTGGAGCAACTGTGGCAGGATTTCAAAGGGAGGGAATGAGGGGGCCTCCTGGGCCCCAGAGATAAGAACGTGGGGGACTGCTGCCCCAGGCTTGGGGCACTGCCAAGCTAACTTCCGAGGCTGCCAGGTTTCTTGGAGGCCAATGGACTTTCTGCCTCTGGGGGTTTTCTCTTCTGGGGTTTCCAAGTCCAGCCATCGACAAGAGGGAAGTTCTAGCCCCCAACTAGTACTTCCTGCTGCAGCATGGAACCCTGGGATTGCTGAAAAGGCAACCCCGGAGGTGACCACTGCCAGCTGCTCGTGGGGTGGGCTGGTTCATCCCCGGAGCAGCCCTGGTCTCTCCCCAGCCGGCAACTGCTGTCCAGATGTCTCAGAGCCTGGAGGCACTTGGTGCAGAGGCAGAGGGCAGTGGCGCTGGCGCTGGCACTGGGCCGCAGACGGCTGTTGCGAAAGGGCTTTCGGGCACTGCGGTGGGCCCTGCAGCTCCGGGAGGCCTGGCAAGAGGCTGCGTGGGGACGACACACAAAGGCACTGCTGTCCCGGAGCTTCCGAAAGGTTAGGAGTGTCCAGGTTGGGCTGGGGAAAGGTGACGTGATGTGTCCGGGAGGTGGTGCCGTCTGCTGAGAGCACTCACTGGGCACAGGTTACGCTGGTGTGCTCAGCAGGAGAATACATTGTTAGTCCAGATACCTGCACAGCTCCGCTGGATTCAAATCCTCTCTAGCTGTGTGGCCTTGGACAAGTTCCTTAGCCTCTCTGTTCCTCAGTCTCTATCTCTGAAACGGGATAAAATAGTACATATCCCTCAGGGTTGTTGTGAGAGTCAGTTAATTAATAGAAGGGACGCAGAACCCTGCCTTTCATAGAGCAAACACTCTTGTCATATATATATATGTAAGTGGTTGCTATTTATTGTTCGTGGTTTGCCTGCCAGGACTGGGAAGGTCTGTCTGTGTTCCTCCATCCTTGGGACAAGGTTGTCCTGGGAAGCCCAGCTCTAGCTTTTGTCTCCCAAGGAAAGGCCTGACTCTTGGGATCCATTTCTTCCTTCCTTCATTCATTCCCAAAGAGTCAGGGAAGTCTAATGGTTAAGACCACAGGCTTTGGAGTCTGGCAGGAGTGTCCAACTTCTGTCCCACCCCTTTTTGGTGCTCTCTTGGGAGACACAGTCAAGGCCAAAGCCAACACC